TACTACTACTACTACTACTACTACTACTACTACTACTACTACTACTACTACTATTACTACTACTACTACTACTACTACTACTACTACTACTACTACTACTACTACTACTACTACTATATTTTTGATATCAAGAGGTAATGATGTCAAAAGTAATAATGGTTCGCTATTTAAACCTTCAGGTGTAGACCTTTTTTTAACATATAAGAAGACACTCGACATTTTTTTATAACCCGAGTTCGCTTCTTCGGACATTCTGTTCAATATTGAGATTCAACTGTTCCATTGTTTTTTGGGTTGTGTTCATCGACTCTCTCTGCCAAAAAGAGCCACCCCCCCCCCAGGCAATAATTAAAGGGGCTCAAGTTGAGGGGGGGGGTGGGTTGGTAACCATTCAGTTGTAAATGTTCAGTTTCCCATCATGAAAGGGTCACTCTTGATGTATGGGTTGTGGCCCCATCCCTTTGGAACCATAGTTTCCATACTTCTCCAAAACTTTCTCGGCACCCTTAGATTTCTATCTGAGGTTACAGTTGGTGTTTTACCGTCTTTTTCCGGAAAGAAGAACGGGCCGATCCCACCCCGATTGTGAACGTTTATGAGAAGTAAAGTTTTGTGCTTTACAAGTAACCAATTTTAGTTGACAATTTTTAAAACTTTATATAATTTTTATAACGTATTGATTATTTTCTTCTTATTAACAAAGCTGACGTCATATGGTTTATTTGTTGACTTTGTTTTGTACGAAATGTTGTGGGAATAAGCGTAGAGATGACCTAGGTATTGGCCTTTTAGTGGGTGTTCTCTCTTGTAGACACCCTGTAGCCAATACATTTCGTACAAAACCTTGTGGAAATTTTTTTAAAGGAGAAAGAAAGAGTGCACTGTCGCTGACAGAACATAGCAGAGAACTAATTTCCCTTTTTTGGTAACATGAATAGTTTAGTTTCTGAAATGATCTCAATTGATAATGTTTCTTGACTGTCGTCTCGTCTAGGTCGGCCTGTCTTTGTCCTTTGACCCCCCCCCTCCCCAATGCTGTTTCCACAAATGTAAAACAATTACTGTTTCATTATGTTCAAAATGACATCCAGACAGTAAGACTGCGTAACCTCAGGTTTAAAAAGAATTATGATAGGTTTTACTACAACTAGTTATGGCGTGCATATTCTGAAATCATTGTCATGCTGCACTTTTAAAAACGCCAATAACACACGAACATTTGATAATTTCTTATTTGCTGGCTGATGACTGGCACGATAAGCCATCCATCTTTATCATGGAACCTAGAGAGGAGGGAGGAGCAGTTATAGCATTGTACCGCCTACGATGATACATATTCTACAACCAAGTAACCAAGTAAGTTTGTGCAAAATTGTAAATGGTTTAAAAAAATAACAACAGGCGTTATAAAAAGTAAACCCATTTTGTAAGGTATCATTTTGCATACGGTCGAAATAATTAATTTTCTAGGTCGCTAACTCATTATCCAGGACGAATTAATACGGTTGCCCTAAAGGTCTTGGAAGGTGTCATTATGATACCATAAAATAACAAGGAAGCACGTTGGCAGCAGCAGTTTTTATCGGTGATTTTTCTGGACAGGTGGTCATTAAACCAGGCTCGACTGTGTCTAAGGCATATAAATAAAACAAATATGACTTTACCTAAACTTTGACCTGCGTCCTAGTTCTTTATCTTTGCATTTAATTTTGCTTCTCACAAACTTGTTTTGACTGCTCTGCGTACAATAAGTGTGCACATACCAAGGCTCAAGGGTCAGTGCGTCAGTTTTAATACGTCACAAGTTCTACTTCCGTACAAATGACCTAGGTGTCAGTGAATCATCGCCAGAACCATTCATACAATATTTCATTCATTTTTTCCATTCTCTCTTAAGCCATGAGTTACTTTTCACATTGATGCCTTCAGTTACCAAGGCATCATGTTGCCTCCCTTTCTCGTCCTCACACACACACACACAGACACAC